TGTTGACCACTACAAATTTACATAATGAATAATAGTGGTCCATGAGTAGCTTCGAAATAAAAGAGACATGCTCAAGTAATATTAACACCAACATTTAGATATGACACGTCATTTCGGATCTCTTTTTAGGTACCTCAAGCACCGGTCATCGTTCTCATCAAATCCGTCGCTTGCGACGAAGGGCTCGGCGAGTAAATTAGCCCTCAGAGACAGCCCAAGGAGTTTCTCGCCGGATCTTCTCAGTGGGTCGCGATTCCGATCCGGTGGTAGATTTTGCGAAGCACTGCTCTGCTAGGGACAGTGTTACCCACGTCCTCAGGTTAGAGCTCCGTGAGCTCACCTATTCGCTCGGTGATGCTGGCATGGTCCTCTAAGGCTACCGGCTTAGGTAAAATAAAAAAAAGATATTTTAGGAACGCGAACGTTTTCAAAAAGACGAACACAAAAACTTGGCGCCGGCGCCATGTCGGTAATTGTACACAGTTTAAGTCTAGTTAAATTTGGAATTCCATAAACCGTAATTATCGAATGATTCTTTTAGATTTCCGATTAGCTTATTCAAAATGTGATCAATCATTTTATCGTTTGTGTTTTACGATAATCCTGTTTAATGTTTTTTTTCGATACGGTATAAAGATAATTGTCCATGGCTTAATCTAAAATAGGTTTTTTTTCCTACCTAAGCCGCTAGCCTGAGAGGGCTATGCCGGCGTCACCGAGCGAGTAGGTGAGTTCACGGGGCTCTAACCTGAGGACGTTGCTAACACTAGTCCTAGCAAAAGCAATGCCTCGCAGAATCTAGCAGCATATATAACCCATCAAATTATGAGGGAGAATACATTAAAAGAAATAAACTGCAATATATATATATAGGCAGTTGCGTTAATGGCGCGTGAAGAGCTCGTTAGATGGACACATGATATTGGCCGGAGGACATTCGCGCCGACGCGGTCTGATTGTAGGCGCGTGCTGCGACTGCGCTCTTGTGGAATTCAAACACATTGATGCGCTTCATAAAATAACACGTAGAAAACATGTACAGCCAATTAGTGGTTAAAATTGTGGCTGATAATTGAGCGTCGGCGCAGCGTAACTTATCAGAGGTGATCGGATTTTAAAACGATTCCACTGTGCTAAACTTAAAAACGCTGCGATTGAGTGTTATATATGGAATAGTCGGCAGTTAGAATTTCAACAGTATATCTAGATTGATAGCGGCTTCCACGCTCTGGTGTAAGGTCAACGGCCTAAAGTGGCACAACGACTAAACCGAACGCCAGGTGAATCTCCATCTGCTCAATACAGAAACGGACGCGGAGCTCGAGAATTACATTTGTTGTACTTAAGTGAAGGCATATTCAGTGTTAGGTTTTCGATAAGCCTGGAACAAGTTTGATCGTAGCTTAGGACTACTTCTAGTATGTAGAAAATGTCCAACATAATTAACTTAATGTACAGGATTCCCGATCGTCGCCAATTAGAGTATTAGTGAATATTTTAAGTATACTCGTATAGTTCAATCTAAGTTTCCATAAAATCAGGTAAAGATCTACAATTAATTTTACAAAACTGCATAATGTAACGACAGCAAAACGATTCCATTAAATTTTATAGAAATGTTTTATTACTTTTAAAATTAAGTTTATGTGTCCAATCATTATTAGACTTCGTGAGTTGTTTCGCAATAAACTTTAGATTTCTGTATTGTTATAGTCGATGCGCTTAAAATATTCATAGCAGCTGATTTTTTTAGTATTTTCCTGTTAGAATGAGTCCTCAACAACAAAACAGCGGAAGATCGGGTTTGAATAATTCAAATGCCCGCCACTCACTAGCTCTTCGCCGAAAACAAAAACGCGTGGCTAAAGGTACTGGTGAATTTACCCATCATTGTTCACATTCTTCTGGTTTCAAATTAAGGGCATTGAAATTAGGTGCGTTGAAAACTAAAAATTCCTTTTTTAAATCCGTTAAAGTCTTAGATTGAGTATTTTTAGTCGCGATGGTGGTAATGTAAACTTTGCAACTTAAATTATTAATGACGGGAATGTTGACATTACATGCGACCAATGGTCGTGAGCTAGGACCGGAATAGGCAGAATGGCTATCTATGATGATACGGTAAAAGTTTTACGCACTATTTTTTTCTATATAGAGAAAGCTGACTGTGTGTGTTGATCGTAGGACGCTAGATGAGAAGTGGTACTCATCGCGAATTTCGAGTACACCACTAGGTCTGGATGGTGACCACTATGACTGCTTCGTGGCAGAAATAAGCGGACTGGTAGCAATTGCTCTTGCGAGCTTATAATCTGCTCTACCACTTAATTACTATTAGTAACTATGCAATTTTAAATTTGTTTTACTACTACATATTAATAATTAAAATATGACATCTTCCCTATTGACATTAGAGATATTGTGCATTTGCCTATGCGTTTCCTTTAAGAATTAATAGATTTCTTTTATTTCTTATAAAAGACCTCCTCTTCTTCCACATCTCCCGGTTCTTGACTATGTCAATTCGGTTCTTATAGTCATCTGCTTAATGTCATCAGCTCTTTTGGTCTGCCCGCGCGGTCGCTATAGCTTGTTTTATCTGTGTACCGAAGATGCGTCAGCCCGCTTCCATTTTAGTGTTGGTGTATTTGTTAGAGCGTCAATGATTTTGGGTTTCTGTTGTTATTTTTATTCCCTCATCGTTGAAATCGTTCGTGAACGCATTGCGTACGTTTACTTAGAACAATCGATATTTATTGGGTCATAAGGTACGACATCCAATGTAAAAGAAAATTATTTCCTGTCTGAATGATTTCAACCTCGGCACGGCTACAACTCGGGAATACTCCATACGAATACACTGGACTTCTGACCCGTTCGACCATGGCTAATATTTTAATAACATTACACAGCTTCGATCAACAATAGTAACTAGATTTCGGATCGGTGCATAAAATCCGTCTCGTCAAATAACAGCGCACTTGAAATGTGAGCTCTTATTTTGTTTAGTTCACTTCAAACACAGCCAATGTCAACCCGTCTCACAATACCGCAGTGTGTATTCAAAAGTTGCAAAAATAAGGCCCGAAAAAGCAATTTAACGGCCGGAGTATCTTACTTTCGGTAAGTACATGAAGTATAAACTATATTGTAAGCTTTAAACTTATAAATAATATTAAATTTTGAACAAAATTACCGATTTTTAACCACCGCTACAAATGTTGGCCAAGGCTCGGCCAACACATGGACAAACTTTTGCTTAACAGAACAGTAAATGCATGGAGTAGATTTGTGTTGTAATAATTTTTTAAAATTTGTTAGCAGCACTTCAAAATTAGTTGGTTAAAATTGGTTAATGCTGCTTTTGTGTCTGTTTGTTGGACTCTCATTAGATACTTAGCTTTCCATTTTTATTTTAGCTTTCCTAGCAATCACGTGTGCAGAATGGATCTCGATTGTCGCCAGAGAAACAAGAGATGACTTTTATAAGCCAGCTAAGAACTCCGCTTATTGACACTGGACATCTTTGCCTTCCGTGCTCACGGCTACTGAAATGTGGCCGAAACATTGTAATAAAAATACCACGCTTGAAACCGTTTAAACGTTGTTTTATTATGTGCACTGGTCGCGAAAACTTAAAAATATATATTACACAAAAACGTAACGCTAATAAAATAATAAGTAATGTATAGATACTAACAAACATACATTTCCAAAACATAAAAAGTAAACAACTAAACTTTTACTTTAATTCATTAATAAATTATTTTAGTGTTAAGCGCGACTCCCTTACCTCCTGTAGTAAATAGAAATCGGCATTTCAAGAAGCAAAAATAAATAAAGCAAAACGATGTTAGTTCTCAGAGCAATTAAGGGAAAAGTTACTTTATTTGTTGCACCTTAAGATTGATTTAACATTAAAAGTTGTTTAAAATATGTCTTTTTATTGGTAAGTGACAGGAGTAATTTATTGCTTTGCTCGTTTTATGTGACGAATGATCGTAAGTATTAGATAATGTTTTGGAGATTTGTGACTTTATTACTAGGTGCCATAGTTGTTATTAGTTTGAAAGTAAAAGTGTTTCAAAACTTTTTTCTCCGTTTGTTAGTAAACGAATGTAGCTATATAAGTATATATTCACGCGGACAGTTTTTGCTTTAATTTTGTACGTATCCCTTTATCTAGTTACTATTGTTGATCGAAGTTACACAGCGTAAAACACAATATACCTAGATGTCTAACAACAGCTCATGTAAAACCTCAACGTGAATCCGTATAGTGTACACTGCTACAGTCTACAGAATGTTACAAAGAAAGAGGCAAAACTCCTTTCATAGCATGTTTCATACCTAAACTCGAATTTTTTTATTACGCACCTAAGGTAGGTAATCTGTAGCATAATGTATTAAAGAATAACACAACTAATTAAACAAAAGGACACTAGAACACACTAGCACACTAGAACCGTGCTCCTTTAAAAAGTAAGTTATATGCAAGTTTTGCTTTATTTTCCATTTGATTCGTCACTTATTACAAGTGGGTACGTATGCGGCAAGATTAAATCTACAAATTTCTTTGTTTAAATTTACATAAAATTGCTTCTGAAAATATGCGAGGGTAGTGATTATTTCCAAACGTAGGTAGCAGGTTTACTATAGGTCCCCACTAGACCCAGCTCGGCTAATAAATCCAGCTGAAAAAACATTCAACATCTTCGAACAAAAGGTGTTTATAAATAATTTATATTCATAACAGAGTCGGTGCGCCGCAGCTAGTTCAAGATCACGAACAATAAGTGAAACGACAAATACGTGCTTCTATACGCACGACAGAGTGAGGGTGTACCATTCCACCCTACACCCGGAACATTTAGGTATGTAGGGGTATGTACACCGCGTCCTGGCACAATCGATTCGCGGGAGCCGACTCCCCCATGAGCGGGCACCGGCGCGCCCGGCCATCAACCTAACAGACACATTCTAGTATTATAAAAACTCACCTTTTCACACTTGAGCTGGTTTACGCCGCAGAAGAAATGCAATCGCGAGATCGCGAGAAAATCACAAAAATGCACTAACTACAAAAATATAATAATTATTTATATCAGTCTTCACTTTTCATCAATTAGGTTAACACTTAATTGTCGGAATCTATCGTAAATTACAGTTAAAAAAAATTGCCGGTTTATATTGTCCGGGGAATTTTCAAAATGTAAATTTTTTATAAACGCTTGCGTCTCCCACAGCTGTTCGCGGCGGACTGAACGGCTTGAAGGTGGCGCTTGGTGATCGCTTGAGATGACGCGAGTGAAGGTAGCCGCGGGACACCCGTTATAATGCACATCCAATGAGAAAATAGAATGCTCTTCCACTTAACCAATAAAATATTAAACGAATCATAAATTATACGCGTGAAATTTTGAAAACATTCCCTGCAATAATTAGTTTTATAAAGTTGATAATCTCATTACAAATATTCTGCACTTCTCATTAAATTGTTCACTGTCTAGTTACTTACATACTGTAACTAATTAATGCAATTAAAATTTTTACAAAAGTGCTGTTTTAATTTATGTGTGTTTGAATTTGTAGGTGTCTTGGTGAGCATAATATTCTTAGGTTTTTGGTTCTGCTGCCAGTAACGTGAATTTCATGGTACACATCATCAAGTGCTCGTCGGTTATGAGTGGTCACCATCACTTTTACAAATAACTAGAGCCAGAGGCAAAGTAAGGTCGCTGCCTACCACTCGGGATCCTCCAAAGAATGATTTATCAAAGAACGCTTTATGTAAATTCCAGTGTCATAAAATGGCGTAGGAATCTTTTTTTTCCTACCTATTTGCTGGTAGTCTAAGAGGCTATTCCAGCTACGCCTGGGCGGGTAAGTAGGTATCTAATATTGTGTAAAAATAACGTCTAAGAATTAAGGCTTAGCAAATAGCCACTTCATATAATTTGCCGGTAATTATTTATCGTTGTACCGTAAAACTGAGACTTAGACCTTATGTCACAAGTGTAATTTGTTTCTTTGTTATTTTGTGTACAATGCAAATGCAGCGTACTTTCTCTCTCTCTCTCTCACAACGTAGGTGGCGATGTTTACGTTGTGTCTATGGGCTCTGATGACCGTTTAACATCATGTGGGCCGTGAGCTCGTCCAAATATCTAAGCAATAAAAAAAAATACTTCACACATTTACGTACCTACTTTCTTCTGACATCGTATAAAGAGGCAAAAGTCGGCAAACGGTATTGAGCGCAATTTACATATATTTTACGCTGAGGGAACAAGGTGGCTGTTGAAAATATGAGTGGCAAATCACCATATTATATTAGCAGTTTTTCTTTATCTTAGATACATAAGTGGATTAGAAAATGTTGCGAACGGCTTCACAAGGAAAAACTTTAATGTATTCTTAAAGAAACGCGCTAGTGAAACTAAAGGCCAATTTAAAAAAGCAACTTTAAATAAAATATAAATAGTACAATGTTGTAGTCTCTTCAGTTTTCTTCGATCGTAGACATAGATGCATTGACGATTTAAGCTTTCGTTTACTGTTAACTGTATTAGGGTCTTCCGTGACCACGAAAACTGTAAAGTATTCCTAACGTCGGTAACGGTAAAATGAGAACCGATTATGCGATATTTAATGTAGAAGTTGGCTTTAACTATCATTTACTATTAACTAAAAAATAAAACGATTAATAAACACCGGCGGCTGCGCCATGATATTTTTAAAACGTTATTTTAAGTCAATTTAGCCTATAACGATGTAAATTTAAAAATAACAAAGAGTGCCATCTGGTGTGGTATTTGAAAACAAATTAAACTGTCGATTGACAGTTGCAAAGCGATGACAAACAATTAGTTCAAAGTGTTCTTCATTCACACGAACATTAAACATGCAACGATTACATTTTATGAATGATACACATCGCGTCAAGTTGTTGTAATATGTCGTGTTATGTAATAAATTGATTGATTTGATCTAAAATTTAGTTTTAGATAACATAATTAAAAAGCTTTATAACTATGAATTTATAAAATTAGGGATATGTGGGAGAAGAGGATCGTAATGTGAGGCACAGAATTGATGGAGGATGGATGAAATGGCGTCTGGTTACGGGCACCACGTCTGACTTACACCTTTTTCTTCCTCTAAAAGGGAAAATATTTAAGACCTTAATAAGACCTGCCGTCTTGTATTTGTATGGATCAGCTTGTTTTGACCGCTTAAGTAGCGGATGAAAGGCGATTGCAATTTGCGTGCAGCAGAGATGCGAATGTTGCGATGGATGTGTGGAGTAACGAGAATAGATAGAATATGTTAGAGGAAGTCTGAAAGGGGCACCTGTGACAGAGAAGTTGAGAAGTGCGCGTTTGGGATTGTATGGACATGTGATGAGATGAAATGACAATGAGGTTGTTAAGAGAGTTTTAACTATGAATATGTACCTATGGGTTTAGAGGAAGAGGTAGATCTAACAAAAAATGGATAGATTGCGTGAAAGACGATATTTGTAAGAGGGGAGTGAGCGAAGAAATAGTACATGATAGAGGAGTATGGAAGGAGAAAGCATGTTGCGCCGACCCCAGGTGACTGGGAGAAAGTCAGGAATATGATGATGTTGGATAAGAGAGGGAATTATTTTGAAAAATGACGTTATTGAAAGAGAATTTAACTTTGTGTTAGCTTCGCAATAGAAATAACTACGTTTATTTTGAAAAAAACTCAAATAGATATATCACTCTTTAATTTTTTTTAAATTATCATTTCCTTATGTTTATCCGTGTTTTCTTTATTTCTCACGATAAAAGTTAGACCACAAATTCCACATAAATAAAAAGATCTCTGTAAATATGTGAACGAGCTCAAAGACCTTCTGGTGCTAAGTGGTTACCGTAGCCCATCGATATCACAAGGTGAGTGCCACCTTGAGACATGAGGTCGAAGTCTCAATTGAATTATAATATAACGGTTCTCCCACCCTTCAAATCGCAGCACATAGCTGTCTCACAGTAGAACCTGCGTCATACTGCTGATAGGACGTTTTGTGAGTCCGCACATGTCCTAAATGTCTATGGGCTCCAGTAACCACTTAACACCAGATGGGCCATGAGCTCGTCAACCCATATAAGCACTTAAAAAAAAAAGTCTTTTTCCGATGAGTACATTGTCTTAATTAGGTGTATTTTAGTTTAGAAACTGTAATGAAATGCTTTCACTCGATCATGTTCACGAAGCATAATCATGTGTTATTTAAGTCGCTTTTAGTAAATGTAGGCATGAAAATGGATCATAGTAGCTTATTTATTCAGTCTTCCATTTTACAATCGGCAAATAATTGCGCATCATGTGTTTTTTTACCCTCTATATATGGTGCCTTTTTCATTTAGACGTGGTAGAATAAATTTAAAACCACTTGCGAAATAGCGATAAGAGTTCAAAACAGGCACGGTACCGATTTCGTAAAAACTAAAATTGAATTACTATAATAGGTAGTCGTTAAGTTTATTTTCCTGGATAAGTACCAGACACGTTGGCTTAAAATTCACACCCTGTATTATTGCACAAGCATGTAATAAAGTCAAATTCTTCAACAGGCCGATTTGGAAATTAAGTAGTATTGGCGTCAATGGCGTATTCAATTAGACGAATTCCAAGTCTTGACTGAAGATAGTATCTAGATTTACTCGAAGAAGCTTAGCTGTGCCCTTGTTCCAGAGCGAAGGTGAATAAAGTAGCAGTATAACAATACATATTAAAAACAAAAAAAATCCAGTTTTATCGTTCAAACTGGAAAGGACATGACAAGTTTTTTTTCCCGATCTATTCGCTGGTAGCATAAGAAGCTATTCCAGTTACGTTGTGATTAGTAGGTGACGGTCACGGGCTAAGCCTAAGAGAATTTGCTAACGCTAGTACATGCGCAGTGCTTCATGGAATCTACCATCCATATACCATGGGATTAAAATCGCGATCGATTTAGGAGATCCGACGAGAGACTCAGTGGGCTGTGTCTATGGTTTAATTTTTTATTGTTTATTTTATTGCTTTTGTAGGCAAACGGGCATATGGCCCGCCTGATGGTGAGTCGCCCATGGACTTCAGCAATGCCAGGGATAGAGCCTAGTCGCTGCCTACCATGTTAGTTCGCTGATCGGTGACCGGTGCTTAAAGAGTCTAAAAGCCACGAAAGTGGATCCGGGGATCTGAAAAGATATGTAATTGGAGACATGATTAAAAGCAGAACAAGACAGAACGATGCTCTCAATCTCTGCGGAGCACATCACGCTCATCAATCAATGATATCCCAACTTGTATTAATAAACAATCAAATACTTTTTCATATTTCAAATCCATAAAATCTATTTGTCTCTATTATTTATTTCCAAAAATACCTACTTCAAGTGGAGGCCGAAGACCGAAAGGGACGCAATGAGCCGTGCGATATTTACCGTTTAGCTATTGTTGCTTGCATCGAGATTAGATTGAAACAAGTAATTTATCGTAGCAAGCACCGCTGGCCACGGGTATGCGAAGTCTCGCGTGCGTTAATGCTGAAAATGTACGATGCTATTAATGTAATCGTTGAAAGCATTAAATTGATTTTCGATCTTTTTTTTTATTACTTAGACAGGTGTACGACCTTTCAGCCTGTCGGATGTTAAGCGGATATCATAGCACATAGACATCACAACTCGAATTCCGCTGCACACCTGGTGGAAGATCAACTGGTATTTTAATAAGGCTATTCTCTCCAGATCACAACGCGCGAATGCACCAATGAAACTTGTGGGATCAGTTTTCCCTACCACCAGTATAGATAGAAGGCAGGGGCAGATCAGAAAATAATCAGGCCGTATATGAACACGGCTACAATTCCCTCCTCCGCGATTCGTCCCGCCCCCGCGACTCGTCCCACCCCCGCGACTCGTCCCGCCCCCGCGACTCGTCCCTCTCCCGCGACTTGCCCTCCGACCGCGTCCGACAATCTCGCTTTAGCGATCGACTTCTTTCAGTCGATCAACTTTGAGCGCGTTAACGCTTTGGGCGACGCCATTCGCGCTGCCTCCACTGCACAACACTTTATCGCCGTTGTGCAAGAATACGCCGNTTCGATAAGGCTATGCGTCATGATAATCGCCTTATCGTAGCCGCCGCTGACTACTCCCCGAATCCTGATCATGCAGGAGCCAGTCACCGTCGACGCCCTAGACATGTCCTTACGGATCCATCAGATCCAATAACCTTTGCATTAGACGCCTTCAGCTCTAACACTAGGAGCAGGCTTAGGGACCTCGGTAACCGTACTCGTCGAACTCGACAAAGAGTTCGCCGTGCAACCTAACCCATGAATCAGCTCGCTGAGTTTCTCGCCGGATCTTCTCAGCGGGTCGCGATTCTGATCCGGTAGTAGATTCATTCGCGAAGCAGCTACTCTTGAGTTGTTAGGTCTCCTTCGGAGGCGCTCGGGTAGCTGTTAGCAAATCCCACCCCTCCTGGCTGAGCCTTTGCTCGCCCACCTGTCCTGGTGAAACTGGAAAGGCCTCCGGGCCACCAGTAATGCTTCAATCATAAAAAAAAAAAAAAAAAAAAAAATAATCAGGGAAGGAAAAGTGATTAAGGAGAGGGAATTGTTACTGTTATAGACTATTAAAAGAGAAAAACAAAATGGCTTAGAAAACCCTGACTACCGTTACATGGTAGGATATATTGTACGCGCAAGTGCCACTGTGATGAATTCGTATATGAAGAGTATGTACTCCAGTAAGCATATAATGCGTTTCGGTTTGAAGGGTGGGGCAGCCGTTGTAACTACACTGAGACCTTAGAACTTATATCTCAAGGTGGGTGGCACATTTACGTTGTAGATGTCTATGGGCTCCAGTAACCACTTAACACCATTAACACCAGGTGGGCTGTGAGCTCGTTCACCCATCTAAGCAATAAAATATAATAAAAAACAGGTTCTCTTGGCCGTTGATGGCAGATAAGCTCAAGCCCCAACCATTCTTCAGTGGTAACTGTCTCACATTGATGTCACAAATAAGAAGGCAAAACCAAAGCGCTAGTGAAGATCTTTTTTAAGTCGTTTATATCGTCTGATAAAATTTAGTCGTGAAACGAACAATTTTACCACTTTATAATTTTAATTTTATGTATGTATATCTAATAAGAATGCATGTTTATTTATCTCTTGTCTCGGTATTCACAAGTGCATAATAGATAACACTCCGATCGTAAAATAACAGTATTTACAATGCAAAAACCTACCGTTAATTATTCACTTTGCAATTACAATAATCTTAATGTGTTCCTCAAAGACAATAAATAAAACTATACCAATACTTTCATTAACACTATTGATTTAACACTATTGATTTCATGACGTATCATTTTTATGAAATAATTATTGATGAAGCATTTCTTTTTAAACATTATTTTCCGAAGTTTAATATATTCGTTTTTCTAATAGATCGTTTTAACTATTATGTTTAGATATTTGATATGGACTATGCAATAAATGCTTTAATTAAAATATATTTATTTTGTGTAGGTGTGTATTTTTCAAACAGCATGCCGGATGCCATTACCGGACTTGTTAATTGTCATTAAGTTTTTACGAACTATCATCTATGATCATAAATATTAATAAGCACGCATGGACGTCAAACGCGATTTATCGTATAGTATTTTCTTCGGTATTCGCGATCTTGGACATAATTAACACTACTTTTACGGTATAATCTCGCGTTTATTACGACGACGACAGTCACTCGTGACCAAGAAAACTGTTTAACATTTGAAACGTCGCAAATAATATAATGACAATAAAAAGCGCGAGATTAAGTCGTTATATTAGTTTTAAATGTGTAATCTAAAATGTACTTAAAGTTATTTACGAAGCAATCTCAAGATACTTAAGTCATAACCTAATATTTTATTTGTGGTAGATTCTCAATCAAACGAGTCATCTTATTAACTTTCCAAAGGCGGTATGTGTTTATCAGGGACTAGGTTCATTTACTCATAGTCGGTTAATCAACTCTACTCACGATTAGCCAAACATTAGTTACCTTTTTTTTACCTACTGGTGGTAGGACCTCTTATGAGTCCGCACGGGTAGGTACCACCGCCCCGCCTATTTCTGCCGTGAAGCAGTAATGCGTTTCGGTTTGAAGGGTGGGGCAGCCGTTGTGACTATACTGAGACCTTAGAACTATATCTCAAGGTGTGTGACGCATTTACGTTGTAGATGTCTATGGGCTCCAGTAACCACTTAACACCAGGTGGGCTATGAGCTCGTCCACACATATAAGCAAAAAAAAAAAAAAAAAACAACCTAATCTGATAGCCTTGACGTAACCTTAAACTAGTAGGTGAGCTCACGGGGCTCAAACCGGAGTGTTGCTAACGCTGGCCCTAGCAAGAGGAGTGCTTTGCAGAATCTACCACCGGATCGGAGACGCGACCTACTGAGAAGATCCGGCGAGAAACTCAGTGGGCTGTGTGTATGGATTAATTTACTCGTCGAGCCCTACATCGCAAGCGACAGGTTCGATGAGGACGGTGACCAGGGCTTGTGGTATCTAAAAGCACCGTTAATGGATCGGGAGGATTCGTAAAGACGTGTTTCAGGCGACGTCGACTGTTTACCATTCGGTCTATAGGATCGGGTATGTTAGTTACCTAACTAATATTGTATCAATGTTAATTACATGAATAATTTAAATCGCTCGATTTCTTCACGATTCACAGAGCAGACATTTACCGAACCTGGTTCGTTCAGATAAAGCTGATGAAATTATCGTCTAACTATTCTTTTAGAAACGGAGATGGCTCCGTGGTTCGGAACGAGATCCTAATTAAACTATTCAGAGCGGAACACGCGCGTGCTCTCTCTCGTCCGACGCCGCTTCGTACGCCGCTCGTTAATTCGCGTTATATTCTGTGATTTTAGATTTATCTTATGACTTTCATGTATTTTATGAGATGCTTTCGAATTAGTTATATTTTTTGCAGCATTAAAATAATTTTATGTAAATTGCTTATTTTAGTTTGAGTTAGGAGTATACAATTAACGTCAAATGAATTCCTCGGCTATCTTAAATTACTCAATAAATTTTAAGTAAATAGCAAAAATTGGAATTTCAATCGCATATAAATCTGGGAATCAGCATAGCCCCCTAAATATCGGTGTTAAGAAATCTAACTTACAGAGAAAGATGATGAAAAAACATTCGTTTTGAACTATGGATTCAAAGTTTTAAATTGTATCTAAATCTGAACAGGCTGTTAAAGTTCATAAGAGCAGCGAGTCTGGACAAATCGTTTTCCATGACTGTTACAAGTTAGAAGAGGATACAGTTAAATATTCACACAAAATTCTTTCCGATCACAAAAGTAGTTTATAGTAGGTATAGTAAACTACTTATACTTGGGCACAATGATTCGTTGGTGAACTAGTTTTTTATTTATTGGACCGATGATATGTTTACGGACCACCTGGTGGTAAATAGCTACTGGAGCCCATTAGCACCACAAGATAAACGTGAATGCTTCTTCTTCTTCATCGTTCCCTCACTGCTGATAATCGCGAACACATCTGAGTTTGCTCCACAGCGTTCGGTCATAGGTGGCACGAACCGCGTGGTATAGATTATCACTGTTTTTTTAACCAGATCTTACCACTGGCTGGTGCTCTGTCGGCGGCGCGGTTTCTTTTATACAACTCAAAATTATTAGCTTCTCTAATTCATTCAGACGGAATTATGTGTCCGAAGAAGCTTATAACATGCTCTTGGCCAGTGGCAGAGCCTTTTTTGGATGTTTAGCTATATTAAAATGGACTCGTTAGTCTATGGTATTCGGAGTATCCTCCGCCACACCCACATTTCAATGTCTGTGCTCCGTAGGGGAAAATGGTAAAGACCAGTTCCCGCAATAAGCGCACTTTGATTTTATAGCGAATGCTAGGGTTTTCCAAATCTTCTCGATCGCACTTTTAGCCATATCGGATTTTCGCCGTATTTCTCCCGTGCAGCTTCGGATTTTATTTGCGACTCCAGATATATGAAATCCGCTACTTTCTCGTAGCCGCTGAGTGCATTAGAACTTGGAAAACGTCGCGAACTTCTGAGTGTAACCACCTTGAAATATGAGATCTAAGTATCAACCTAAGGCATTACTTATGTCGACTATGGCACGAAAACACTATACGGAGGTGTACTAGATCATATAAGTCACTGAAAAGGAGTAATCCATCAAAACTACTTATAAAATCTACAAGTCTAGGCTTTTTTATTAGACGGGTTAACGAAATCAGGGCCCATTCAACGGTTACTGAAATTCACCCGGTGAACCGGAACGCATGACTACCTCGCGACAAAAATAGACAAGATAGTGGTGTATACTGTAGTAGGCTAACAGAACGCCTTACTACCAGCAATTATGCAACATTATTATTTTTCAAGTTTAATTTTTATTACACGATGCCTTCCTTCTTTACTGAAGTTATTCGTGAACTTGAGCTAAGTTCGTGATTCACTAGACAAGTTAATTCTTGTCCGCGGGATTTGAGCACTGGCATAGTTGGTATACTGGCACAATTTGAGTACAAGGTTTTCTCATTAGCCACTTTTTGGCAGGAAGGCGAGGAGCGAATTGTTGTGTATTGTTTTACTTTGCTAAATTTTTTTTTAAAGTTTAAAAGTTGATTTTTGATTGCAATAATGATAAGTTACCATTTACAATAGAATCTGAGAAACTGTAAAAATTAGAAAAAATGAAACAATCTATCTTAACGTGTCTTCTCAAGGTCATCCAAAAAAGTCTTTGAAAGTTTCAGTAAAATTTATTCATTTTACTAAGACATTATTTCACATCATTTCATCTCATTTCACTTTTGTTCAGTTTTTTGTAAAATAGAAATCGCTTTTAATACAAGTAATGAATTTGGGCAGTATGGTATTATTTTATCGCTTTTTTGTGTTAGAAAAGTTCAACTAGTGTTACTGTCATTAGTGTCAATTCATATACAATAAGTTTGAGGTTATTCGTAAAATAAAATAATGAGTTAAATCTTTATTTTTATGCGTCATATTTGATAAATTTTCTCTCAAAATGACTTTAGCTACATTACGTTTAAACTTTATACGTGGTTTAATTAAAAATGCAACTTGTACTGCGTTACTCCAGAGGCCCTTGGGATACAAGAGTTCCATATCATTGGAAACCCTCTATCCAAATAGTTCTTTGAAGCTCACCACTCCTGCATTTGTAAGCTATTTTAAGAATACTGACATCGATAATAATTTTCTTGTATTATTGAAATATGAAATTGGGTATTTATTTTCTATGAATTTTTTGCTACTTCTACTTATCTGCACTCATTTGTAAACATGTAAATGGAAACAAAAAAAAATACACTGCTAAACTCCATATTTTTGACACATTTAATACAATGTTGACAAACAATTAAATAATCATTTGTTTTTAACAGAAACCTGATGGTAATGAAAAATTCTCAGGATTCATACCGATACAGAAACTGGATATATCATACAGTGCCAGCTCTGGGCCAGGAGGTCAGAACGTAAACAAGGTAAACATACTATAAACATCTTTCCTTTATATTAGAAATTATTCCACAAACTAAATAAATTATTTCTCAGTAATAATTGTAGACTTTGATATAATTTTGTTGTGGGAATATTTCTAATTAAGTTCTTTTAAAAATAGTAATTCTTTATTTATTATTAATATATCTATATAGTTTTACATCATTGACAAATAAATCATTAGCAGTATAGGTAGTAAAATAAGCAGTATTAGTAGCACAATTGCATCTTGTTAACTGTTCATAATAACAATGCAAAAGGTAGTAAATATACAACATGTATATATAACAATATAAGCATTACACATAGTAGGGTATAGTTATCTTGTGCCGCACTGCATTTTCAAAGTAGCATGCTTCTCTAATCTATAATTTCTACATTACTATTAAAATTTAAAATTTCAGCACCTTACCAAGTTCAATTTTAGCAAGTTGTAAACATAATTAAAACTCAGCTTACATTTTAATCTCGCATTTATTATTTCTGACTTTTGAAATTGCTGAAGTCCATGGGCGACGGTAACCACTCACCATCAGGTGGGCCGTATGCCCGTCTGCCTACAAAGGCAATAAAAAAAAAAAAACTTACAGTCTTGATGGTCACAGATATTTGAATGACATTGACTAGTGCCTTTGTTACAATAAAATGTATGACATTAAATAGTACCAGTGCTTTTCATTAAGTGACTTCTTATTATTAGACATCATTAGAAGAAGTCATATCCAATTCACTGATTTTCGATTTTTTTAACTAAGCCAGAAACTTAAAAATATAAAGCATTTTAAAAGTTTTCTTCTTCCATAACACCAGATAGAAAGGTGTTATGAAATGAGCAAATTGTATGTGTCTAAGTACTATTTACATTAATTAGATTGTAATATGTATCTCTTGTAATATCTTTAATACACATTCTTACAAATTTTGAAGTATCAATTTGTTTTAGGTTCATACAAAAGTCGACTTAAGGTTTAAGTTGAGTGATGCTGACTGGATACATCCCGATATTAGACAGAGAATGCTTGAATTGGTAATTATTTGTACTCCACTAAGGCAGTAGTAGGCTTAATAATTTAAACTAGTTAGTGGTAGATAAATTAAAAATATTAACTTTTATTTCTGTTTTACATCACATCAACACAAGTTCGTGAATGACTTTCACTATGAAAAAAATTATCTGACACCAGTTGGGCTGTCAACTTATCTATCCATATAACATTTATTGAAAAGATAATGTATGATAAAATGAGCATTTTTAATTTACAATGATATGTTTAATAATAATTTTACAGTATGACAAGAAGCTGACAAAAGAAGGGTATTTGATCATAAAATCAGACTGCACTCGGTCTCAACAGCTCAACTTGGCTGATTGCATGCGGAAGCTACGCAATATGATCCGAGATGCTGAAGTCACAAAACGTGAACCTTCACCGGAAACTCAGGAAAGGATAAGGCAGAGGTATATTGACTGTCTTATTAAACCACTTAGCCAAAAATTTATTAAATTACGATAAACTCAATTATTGTCTTTTATATCTTCTATACATAATTAAGCTATTTTATCAACTGTATCAATGTTATTTTGGTTCACAATGTACTAATTGTATATTGGTGTAACAAAATATACTGCTACACATATTAAATTCTACAACCTTGATTATCATATGGTCATATTAATGACCAATTTGATGACTGTGTCTAATGTGGAAGAGAATTTTTTAACCATACACTGGTAGGACTCACTACTCAAGTTGTGTTACATTTTTGATTGAATGTGAGTTTAAAGATTCAATTGTTGTATAAATGGCTTTACTATTATTCAATTTGGAACTTATAAATGTATCAGTAGAAGTATATGAGGTATAGTACCAATATGTGCTGGCTTAAAATTCCAAACCATAGAAGTAAAGTAATTAGAAAATATTGTTATCCTATAATGGATATTGCAATCATATTTTTTCTTTTGAGGTATAAATAGAGTTTAGGTATAAAAGAGATGCTTATACTGAAATATGTGGCTTCACAACACAAATCATTTAAAAGTACTTAATTATATTTTCAGGCAGTTAAAAGCGGCGAGACTACGCGTGGCCATCAAACGCGAAGATTCATTGAAGCGCTCCTTGAAACAACCTCCTACTGTTGTTGATTTATGATTTTTCTACTAATTGGGCATACATGAACGCTGGCCACACAGTCCTGTGTGTTAGAGCGAGATAGGAAATAGTGTTGTTTTGTGACTTTGTCACTTTAGAATTTGAAGTAAACTGTCGTATTATAATTATTAAAAGTTTTAAAATTATAAGCTGTACCGTTTTTGTTGAGTATCGCAATTTCACATCTAGAAATGGATATTTTCTGGTACCCTTTTCCAAATATAGAATTGTAACGAAAAAATCATTGGATGTTGTTGCATAAAGCTTCGTTTTGTTCAGAAAACTGTTGGAATAAGGATAATACTTATAATTAGAAATGATGCCTAAATTTATTGTAAAAATGATTTAACACGTAAAATTTAATGCTTTTTCTATTTCTCCCAAAGTGAGTATCACTAAGCATTCTGTGTAGCGCTCGCGAGCTTTAAGGAAAAAAATCCTTGTCACCTTTTTTAAAATTATGAAAAGATGAGAGAGGTTAGTACTTTAAAAGAAAATAAATTACTAGAATTAAAAACAGTAGCGTCTGAAGAGTGCATCTAATTCATATAATAATTTTAAATATTGCCTATACTTTATATTAAATTTAACATTTAAACATTAAATTTAACATTTAAAAATTAAATTTAAAACAATGATATTATTGAAATTTTGAAGGAAACCTTTACGCTCCTCCAAACCATTTTTAAATGAAATAATTAAGCGCCTGACAGCAATAACTTAGCAAATGACCACCAAAATGATTAATCATTACAATATTGCTGGAGTTTGTAAATTTAAACTGATCTCAATAAGAATGGAGTGAAAAATGATAATCTTTGTATATTTTTATTAATCAGAGATCAAATAATAGCTTTGCAGTATACACATTGCATTAATTATGCATAATAATTAATATTAATTATGCATTTAAGGGGCGTCTGAATAAGAGCTTTTATTATTAGTTGAGTAAGTGTTAGCATTTTTGTATTCTTATGAAAGCTACATTTTCCTATAGTCGAGGGAGCACACGAGCTAATAGTCAGCTACAGCTCTTTTAACTATATGTGTAACTTGTATATCTTTTGTAGGAAAACTAAAGAAATAAAATTATTAAATTAGTAGTTCTCATAAAACAACACTATTTGTATGCCCAATTAGTATAAAACTGAGATAAATAATTCATATTTTGTAGCAATTTATATAGGTACTATAAAAATAAAAATTGTTCGAAAATTTTTAGGTTTATTTTTCACAAGTTTTATTTTGTGTGTACTTAGTGCGAGTATTTTAACGTTCTCTATAGCGAAAGTTACTCAAACAGCGCCCCTAGCGGTAAACGTACGCAAACGTTCCAACTGCATACAAATTTGAGTTAACTTTTACGTTATCGAGAAAGTTAAATAACTCACACTAAGCACACAGACGTCATTCGGCTACTTTAAATCGAAACTAATTAAATAATCGGTATTATTATTACTAGCTAGCTGGCTAATATGATTATGAAACTAATCTGCACTACTAAAAAAAGAGAATATTTTTCAAGGTAAGAACCACTGAAGTATAAAGGTCTATGGTAAGAACAGGTAATGTAACAGGTTATGTTATCAATGAGAAAGACGTTGTCATAGTAACGGCTTTTCACAACAAGTCTATCCTTAAGTGTTAGAACAGTGCTATTTTGTAAACACGGTAAAAACTGCTATTCCAGTGAGAACGATATGTCGTACCGTGATCTTAGAAGTGAGTTTTACAATTAGAAGAAAGTTTTTTGATTCTAATAAGATTAGGCTTGTTTGTACATCCTTTTATCCATTAAAAGTAGAAGAAATTTTATCGTGAAAATGAATGTAGAATTGGGATCGTGGCGCATAAAATAAACTATCCACTGTTGCACTAATCATAGATTAGGTATACACTTAATATATTGCACTAATAATGAAAAATCAACTGACACCTTACGCCTTGCTCATTCAATTGTCTTCGTCATCTTACTTTTCGCTGTCATTCTGTCTCTCATTCTCTTTCCCTTCCTTGCCGTTTCCTTTCTCTCACATCTTAACGCTCCGTTCCATACTTTTCACTTCTTAACAATCCTTCATAAATGTAACATTAAAGATTTCAGCGAAGCCATGCGCGTGTTAGGCTTCCCGAAGCCAATATCCTTGGAGAGCTTCAGGATCCCTAACTGGGAACTGGTGGAGGAGTGTCTCCGCTGGCTGGCGGCGAGGGTCGACCCCAACGCCGTCCTGGCCGGCGGCCGGGGCAGCGTGGAGCAGCGCGTGTCCATAGTGACGCACGCGGTGTCTCTGTTTGTAAGTTTAGTGTGCCTCATTATTTTGCATTGGAATGCTTATACATTGCACAGACAGGAGAACGAATATAACCGATCAGTTATACCTAGGTACATCACCTTGAGACATGATGTTCAGGCTACAATTGTATAATATAACAGCTGTCCCACCTTTTTATTTTCCTCTACTTATTCGCTGGTAGCTTAAGAGACTATTCGAGCTACGCCCGGACGGATAGGAGAGCTCACAGGCTCAACTAGAGATAATTTGCTAACACTAGCTCTAGCAAGAGCAGCGCTTCGCAGAATCTACCACCGGATCGGACTCTTCGAACCGGATGGCATCACTGGTTTTCGGCAGAAATAAACAAGTTAGGCTTACAAGAGGCACCGCCATCAGTGTAACTACGCAAAAAAAGAAAAAACGTTATTATTCTTGTTATGACCTTCATTGTGCAAGTTATTCACGAACATGACTAAAGTACTCATTTCATTAATGTCTACAAGTGTTACTGTGAATATTCTTAATTTGCGTCTGGCCCACATGATGGAAAAAGTTCAGTCGTTCGTAGCTACGGATAATAATATTGCCAGGGGCAACTAGACACTCGCCTGCCTACCATGATGTAGAGTTTCTTAGCGTTTACCTACATTAAATATTTAATTATCTTATGACAAGACGAACAATAATATTCACCTAATAATAATATTAAACAAGATGCCATTTGCTTCTCGAAGTTTAAAAAATATAGTTGAAAACTTATGCAATTGAATTAGTACACAAATTTCACAGCACTCCCGGGCGAATCTTAAACTAAACGGCAAGAAGTTGTACGGTGCTGATGGCTGGGCCGTGCGTGAGCTGCTGAAGGTGGCGACCTTGCTGAGAGCAGCCTTGGAGTCACCGGGCTCTGAAGACCAGTCCGATTCAACTCCGTTGTCTTATGACATCAGTAATAGGGTCAGTAGTAAGATCCCGCGTGTTACGAGAATTCTGTAGACTTTTTTACTTTTTGTCTTTTTGTACATTTTTTTATTAGTTGTACGTAAGGTTTTGCGAACCGGCTCGTTTTAAAATCGCCATCCCTAATGCTACCAAATAGTTCTTTTACAAGGAACACGGGAACGGCTAGCGATTCAGAGACGGTACTAATTTTTTTATCATCAATAAAAAAAAAAATTACATGTACCTTTTATCTATTTATTTTTTATTGTTTAGATGGGTGGACGAGCTCACAGCCCACCTGGTGTTAAGTGGTTACTGGAGCCCATGGACATCTACAACGTAAATGCGCCACCCACCTTGAGTTATAAGTTCTTAGGTCTCAAGTATAGTTACAACGGCTGCCCCACCCTTCAAAGCTAAACGCATTACTGCTTCACGGCGGAAATAGACAGGGTGGTGGTACCTACCCGTGCGGACTCGCAAGAGGTCCTACCACCAGTAAACCTATCTACCTATCGTTATCGTCAACGTTTATCTTAAAATGTGAAGTCTTCGTCTATTTGCACTAAGCACTTGGTCGACTGGATGCTGTGCGTCTTCCGAGGTTCGATGAAAGCAAAGCAACGTGAGAGATACAACCAATCATATATAAATACAGATTATTTTATTGTCGTGATCGAAAAAAATCGCATTCTTCATTCCAGTTGGGGGAAATAAAACAAGCTCGTGCTTTAGCTACGGAAATTACCGCTCAAGGCGCTTTCCTATACGACTTACTGACTAAGGAACCTGAGAATAAGGTACATTTTTCATTCTGCTTATGGAAATTAAGTGACTCAAATTTAGACTCCTTGACTCTAATCAAAAGCAAATCGTGACCTACTTCAGCAAATTCAGCACCATAGCTCAGATTAGTCTTTGCATAGATTTTGATGCACGATTATAAGCTTCATTCCGTTTTCGTGTACACATTCTAAGGCACTAATGTATTGTTCCAATTCTTCGGATACAAATTTTTAGCCTAAATGGACAGACGAACTCCGGGCCTACCTTAAGTTAAGCGGCGTCTCAGTTTTAGTTTCTTTTTTTTATGCCCTTGTAGGCAGACGAGCGCACGGCCCACCTGATGGTGAGTGGTTACCGTCGCCCATGGACTTCAGCAAGCCAAGCCGTTGCCTACCGAAAGTTGCTTTAGAATATCAATTTATTCTGTCTTCCTAATCGGAAAGCATGTTTATTTCGTTGGTAGAAGAATGGTATTGACTAGTACCATTTTTCTGATACTCAGCAATACCAGTATCCGTCTACTTATGATAAGAGAGGCATTGCGAATGTTACTGATGTGTACAAGACTTGTCTCCCACAACAGGAGTCCCGAGAGCAGGCCCTGTCCCGTCCTTTAGACATGTCGGCCATGGAGTCGTGTCTCCGGCGCGCCCTGGACACGGTGGCGTCCCGGGTGAGCTCTGCCCGGGAGCAGTGCGGCGGCGTGGCGGCCAGCGAAGCCGCCCTGGACGCCAAGCTGGAGAGACGCCGCGCGGAGCTGCAGCGAGCCGAGAAAAGACTACACACAGTGCAGAAGATTAAGTTAGTTCAATTTAATGCTGAAGTTCCCCACTTCGATAAAGCGGCACGACACGAGAAACCTCTCATCGTGGCCGCCAAGATTTCAAAATAGTACAATCAAGTGTTGTAAACCTAAACTAAATGGGCCATCTTTTAAAAAAAAATTCCGTAGGTAGTGTAGTACATTTTTTTTCCAACGTAGAGTGTCAAAGTTGACTGACATCGTAACTCGTCAAAATTTAATTTATTTTACTTAGTTAACAATGATAATTACTTTCATTTGTGGTTACGATTAATAGCACTGTTATTTGAGATAACATTATTAAAAAAATCACTGTAAAATTGTGAAAATTGCGATCACAGTACCTAAAAATGCGACCAAGGGTGTCAATTTTTTTACTTTTTCGAAAAATGTCTATCATCGCTTGACTAAGTGACATAGATTTTTTTTCTTATTTTTTTCATGACTGGTATATCTTGGCCTCTCGCCTGGTACCAGGTTATCGTTGAGTTTTGGAACACCCTGTATAGTTATATAATATATAGTAATATATAGTTATAATAAATAGCATCAATGTTTCGCAGACCGGCGTACCAGGGCGAACTTTCAGCGCTGGAAACCGAACTAGGGCAGCTCTGGGACGACTACGTCCTGAAGTATCGCTGCGTTGAAGCTTTGAAGCATCAACTGAGCTTACTCGAGAGCGCTCAGGCTGAGGTATTCTAATGTAGATTACTAGGCTGCACTAAAAGTATCGGGAATGAAATATTTCCACTGTTCCTGTCATATTAAAATCTTTTTAATGGAAAACTCCTTGGTTTTAAAAATCGAATACCATTTATTTATTTAAAAAAAGATTCTCGGTCTTGTCACGAGGTTTTGTCAAACTTGTTTAGTCGTTGAGAAAATGGAATTGACTCGAGAAAATTCAAGAGCGATGATTTATTATGACTTTCGAAGTGGTTTAACACAAAAACAGTGTGTTGACCGGATGATTTCTGCATTTGGTGATGAAGCCCCATCGAAAACCATAATTTATCGCTGGTTTGCTGAGTTTCAACGTGGACGTGGCTCAGTAATGATCCCCGTCAAGGTCGTCCAAAAACTGCAGTCACCCAAGAAAACGTTGATGCTGTGCGTAAGCTGATTGAGGAAGATCGACATGTGACATACCGAGAAATTCAGGCAACTTTAGACATTGGCATGAGTCAAACACAAATAATCTTGCATGAACAATTAGGTGTAAAAAAGTTGTTTTCCCGATGGATACCGCATTCGCTCTGTGAAGAGCAAAAAGCGGCTCGCGTTACTTGGTGCGTCAGAACTTTCGAAAGATTCCAGGCAGAATCCTCAAATGCTGTATACAACATTGTATCAGGTGACGAATCCTGGATATGCGCGTACGAACCCGAAACAAAAAACCAGTCACGAGTTTGGGTGTTCGAAAATGAGTTAAAGCCAACAAAAATTGTTCGTTCACGGAGTGTTGCAAAAAAATGGTGGCCACGTTTGTCTCCAAAACCGGCCATGTTACGACTATTCCTCTTGAGGGACAAAGAACGGTTAATGCAGAATGATATGCTAGCATTTGTTTGCCAAAGGTCGTTTCTGAACTCCGTAAAGAGAACTGCAACCGCCGCATCATCCTCCATCACGACAATGCGAGTTCTCACACCGCGCACAGAACAAAAGAGTTTTTAGAGCATGAAAACATAGAATTATTAGACCATCCGCCGTACAAGCCCGACCTAAGCCCTAATGATTTCTATACTTTCCCTAAAATAAAGAATAAATTGCGTGGACAGAGATTTTCATCACCTGAAGAAGCTGTGGACGCCTACAAAGCGGCCATTTTGGAGACCCCAACTTCCGAATGGAATGGTTGCTTCAATGATTGGTTCCATCGTATGGAAAAATGTGTCAAATTTCGCGGAGAATACTTCGAAAAGTAATAAATACATTTTTAAATAGTAATGTTGTGTCACTTCGTTAATTCCCGAAATTTTCAGTGCCGCCCTCGTATAATAGACAAGAGGCACGCTGCGTGAGCATTCGTGGACACTATATGCCAAGTTCCGTGGCTTAAGTTCTCTCAGTTCAGAGAACTTTAAATCTTAAATCAATATTATCTCGGTGTAGACAGCAGTGTGCTCAATGCAAGTTTTTAAACGCTCTCGATAGCGTAAAAGTTAACTAAAATTTGTATAGAGTTGGATCAGCGCCCCTAGCGATAAAAGTAGGTAAACATTCCTTCTTTTACGCGGTCGAGAACGTAAAAAAATTAACTTTTTTTTTTATTGCTTACGTTGGTGGACGAGCTCACGGCCCACCTGGTGTTAAGTGGTTACTGGAGTGGCACCACCCACTTTGAGATATAAGTTCTAAGGTCTCAGTATAGTTACAACGGCTATCCCGCCCTTCAAACCGAAACGCATTATTGCTTGTATTAATGCTTATCTATAACTAATCAGCGGTAAAGTGGAAAGAAAAAGAGGCCTAGAGGGCGTAGTCCCATGCGCTGGTCCCATCGTGGTAATATATCGATGGCTGGTCCCATCAGATTAAGACGATTTGGACTCCAGCATCAATGTCGTTATCCACTGGGCGGAGGACAGGAAGGAATGGAGGGAACATAGTCTTTACAAAAGTGCTCCGTAAAGGTCACCCTTTGCACTGAGGAATACGACGCATGGAAGAGGGTTAACTAATTTATGTGTATTATCTGAATACTCCGCGCCCGCCTCGTCCTGACCCTGTGCTACGCAGGCGGCTGAAGAGCAGCAGACCGCCATCATGCAGCTCATCCACAAATATGAGGCAGAAGACGTCCTAGGGAAGATCAGCGGATCCGGTGAGCGTAATTATGATTAATATTCCTTCAGCAACAGGTTACAACTGGTTACAGAGTGGTTTTCATATTAAATTGAACAAGGACAGCCAGCGGGACTCACACGCGGAAAGTCAACAAACAAATGATGAAGATTAAGGGTATTAAGCGGTAGGCAGCGGCTTGGCTCTGCCCCTGGCATTGCTGAAGTCCATGGGCGACGGTAATCACTCACCATCAGGTGGGCCGTGTATTCGTCTATCTACTAGGGCAATAAAAATAAAAAAATTAAAATTAATTAATTAATTATAATTAAATAATTGTGCAAGCCATGAAAAGTATAGCCAAATTCGAATTACAAATAATACAGTGACGATTGTCCCATTATTTTTTACTAGAGGTCCCGCAGTAGTCGAAATTCAACTATAATTAATTGGAATTGTAAGTTTGTACACTATTATTATAGTATTTTCAACGCCAAGACTAGTGTAGTCTTACTACTACTAGAAAAATATTAATAAAGACAAACAATATTTAACCTATTCTCAATTTGACCACAAACGTCAAGAACAAAAGTTTGACAATAAATAGTATACATGCGTGTGTGTGTCAAACACATGGTAGTGTGTGTAATGTTTTCTTTATTGATTTAATGTATCTTTCATGCATTATTTAAAAAAAATATTAGATTTGTGCACTTCTTCTCTATATTCTCTATAATTAGTGTGGAAAATTTAATACTCCTCCATCCGCGCAATTTTCGTAAAAAGGAAAAGTTTTTGCTTCACTTAACATGTTAACATATAGATTATATCTACAACAGATTTTGTTCTAACCTAAAAACATTGGTTGATGTCCTATTAATTTAATTTGCTTAGCTGATGATGTGACCGAGGAACATTGGTTAGCACGCGAATGGCTGAACGTTTACCCGAATTTGTTAGACGGCATGAAATATTAATAACGGACCGTGTATTTTTGTAAGTCGCTCAAGATATGGCTTAGAACTGTGTCCACGTGATGAATTCCAATTTTTTTTATATGTTTTTTAAAAATAAATGTGTATTATCTAGACGAGATGGAGTCGAGTGACGAGTCGCAGGATGCGGAGGAGGCGAAGCCGCCGCGCCCCGCCACCCGACCCAAGACCAGACTCAGGATCAAAACTGCAGGTGACGTACTTATTGGCGTTACGCCAGGATTTTCACACATAAGGTGTTTTACAATAAAAATACAATTCTATAAAACTTTAACATTACTTGTTTATTACAAAAAGCCACGCCTTAGTTCTTACACAATTAGCCATTTTGTGATGGTTATAGCAACTACAACTTCTTTTATACAAACAAATGTAATTACTGTACTGTACAATAATAATGCAAAACAATTCACAAAATATGGCTTCAAATTCAAATGTTTTCCGGTAAACAATTTGTTAAATTTATATAAAATATAAAATTATATGATATCATGAGTTTAAAGAGACTTTTCGCGAAGTTGAAACAGTTGTTTGTTCGTCCCTGGCGTCTCTCAAATACAGCCTCGACTATTAGTTGCGGCTCTAGACTCCCAAAGTGGACCACTAATTTACATATTTTGCATCTCATTGGTATTGTATCTCTTGGTCTGTGGTGAGATAATAATAATAATTATTAATTATTTCTTAAACTCGGAATTCAACGGTAGGTCGCGAGCGGGGGGGCGAGGCGCGGGGGGGCGCGGCGCGGGACTGGGACCACATCCGCGACGAGGTCGAGGGAGACTCGCAGTCCGACTCCGACTTATCGGATCGGGAGATCTACGGTCAGCTGAGTACACTACTGTCATTACACCCAGTTTTTTAATTTTTTTATTGCTTAGATGGGTGGACGAGCTCACAGCCCACCTGATGTTAAGTGGTTACTGGAGCCCATAGACATCCACAACGTAAATGCGCCACCCACTTTGAGATATAAGTTCTAAGTTCTCAGTATAGTTACAACGGCTGCCCCGCTCTTCAAACCGAACGCATTACTGCTTCACGGCAGAAATAGGCGGGGCGGTGGTACCTACCCGTGCAGACTCACAGCACAAGAGGTCTTACCACCAGCAAAGTATAATAGTCATGTTGTTTTTTGGCACAAAATATCAAAGTTATTGATTATTTTATGACTATCAATAGAGACTGCAAACCAATCTGTCACTGATACCCACATGAATCACTATAACAAAGTATTGTGTATTTGTCCGAGCCCAAAGCTAGCGTAGACCAGACCATATTCCTAGGACAGAGAATGTGATCTCTGAAGTGTTCAATTGTCTGGACGCGTGCGAGCAAGTGGGCTATATGACACAGTAAGTGCTTTGTTCGGAACAGACCCCCAAGCCCGGTGGTCCCGAGCGCGGACCCGCCCCACCACTCGGACCCTGGCCGCCGCTGACGACGAAGACTTCGCCGATCTAGCACAAGGTATCGTTTCCCTTTAACCTTTTTTTTTAATGCTTAGATGGGTGGACGAGCTCACAGTCCACCCGGTGGCATTACTGCTTCACGGCAGAAATAGGCAGGTTGGTGGTACCTACCCGCGCGGACTCACAAGTCCAGTTACAACCAGTAATTACGCGAATTATAATTTTGCGGGTTTGATTTTTATTACACGATGCTATTCCTTCACCTTGGAAGTCACGTCATGATAATCGCCTTATCGTTGCCGCCGCTGACTACTCCCCGAATTCTGATCACGCAGAGGCAAGTCACCGTCGTCGCCCTAGACGCCCACCTGTCCTGGTGAAACTGGAAAGGCCTCCGGGCTACCAGTAATCTTTCAATCATAAAAAAAAAGTAAAAAAAATGTAGAAGTCAATCGTGAACATTTGTTGAGTACGTATTTCATTAGAAAAATGGTACCCGCCTGCGGGATTCGAACACCGGTGCATCGCTACATACGAACGCATCGGACGTCTTATCCTTTAGGCTACGACGACTTCAACCTACGCGGTTAAGTTCGCTATAGACACTATTATTTAACGGGTTTTTACCAGATTTTTAGTAGTAGCACACTAGGCCTGCTCACGAATCTTGGCGGTGCAGAAATATCGGGCACTCATTAAGACTAAAAAGCCCGTTACAGGCCAGTTAAGTGATAAAGAATAATTTGTATCTTTTTAATAATGCCTTGTGTGATCTAGAATAGAGCTATATTACCGGAGTGGCAGTTTTCACTCCGTTTCCAACAGTCTTTATTTTTTCCCTATCTATTTGCTGGTAGCCTAGTTAACTCAAATTTGTATGGAGTTGGAATAGCCTCCCTAAGTTTGCCGCTAGGGGCGCTGAAGCTGAGAGTCCCATATGTATTGCACTGCATCTGTTCCTACACATCACCCCTGCCCTGAGTGGTAGGGAGCGTCTGCCCGGGTAGTGGGGTTTGGCTCGAGGCCCGTTCCGTGCCCTCGTAAGGGGGTACGACGACCCTTCTTCATCTCTTCTATGTTCCAGGAGGCGAACGTGATGATGGAGACTCTCTGGGCAGTTCGTCGGAGAGCGAGCTAAGGCTGACGAGTGCCGCCCCTGCACTCAGCGACAACGAATTTTAGTCTTATAGGTTACTAGCTGGTATTTTGTAGTATGAAATGTTTATAAGTATATGTGTGACCCACAGTGTGATCCTAAGAAGAAGACGCTGTACCAGAATTCAAGTATTCTTTTTAGGTTTTCGTGCTTTTACACCTATCACGTGCTTGTGAAATATTTCTTAAAACTATGTTTAATGTTAAATAATGAATAAAAAGATTTGTCCACAAGATATATCAATTTGCGTATTTCCTTGTGATTAATGTTTAACGCGTTCCGGTTTCTAGGAAGGGACAGACGTTGTTCTGATCAGATTTGCTTATTTCTCAAAGTGAGTGGCGGCATTAACGTTGAGATACCTATGGGCTCAGGTGACCGCTTGACTCCAGCTAGACCGTGAGTGTGTCGGCCAATCTGTAGCAGAAGATATTTCTCACCTTGGATACATAGCCGTGCTATTCTGATGACATTATTATTGTCCAAAGATAACACCATCTGTGCAGACTAACGAATATGTAATAGACATATAAAAATGTATCGTGAATTTGTAATGAACTAAAAATATTTAATTTTACACAGAAAAGTTTTTATTAAAATACATTTTTACAAAATACATTTTATCTCATTTGAATAAATAACTACCTTATAATTGTTATATGATTGATATAATTCTACACGTTGATGTGTTAAAAGAACTCTAGTCCTAAGTTTGAATAAAACAGTAGGTACGGGAATTAATTAGACATTCCGTATCTTATGTTCACCAGGTTCATGTGCTATATATTGTGTTACCTACTCCCTAAATACTTAAATTCGATAAACGATCATCTCTAAACAATAAGACATACTTACAATGTATCTATTGGTTTTGACAAAAAAACTTATTTAAATACGTTCAGTATTTGAATTCACGTATAACTTTTGTTTTTATTAGAAGCTATACCTCCTAAACTAGAATTTTGACATTGTGAAATAATGAATGAAATTATGGATGTGTGTTAGATATATGTATATATGGTCAATGTACAATGAAAAAGCAGTGAAAATGTACAATGACAATAACAATAACTTTATGTAACCGACCCGCTAAGGATCATATTCAGTAATAATAATAAATGAATGATGTGAACGAAAATATATTTTAATCAGATTATCAAAAATAAACAACATATTATATAAGCGGTAATTACATTTCTCAAAATAATACATTCATTTATTAAAAATCTGACCAAATAATTATGAAATTTAGTGACAATAATCAAATTTATATAAAAGTACCTACCTAAATGAAAAAGTTTGTATGTACAAATTTTATAATTTCATAAAATAAATGTGTGGTAAAAGTAAAAATAGAAAATCTTTATGTATTGTAATAAAACGGAATTAGCGATGAATAAATGATGCACATACATAATTAATGGTTCTTATTTTACTGTAAAATAAATAAATTACAATACATTGACAAACGGCTGTCTGGTGTAGTGGTAAGTGACATGGTCACTACACAAGGGGGTCGCGGGTTCGAATCCCGCCAAGGGAAGATATTTGTATGATAAATATAAAAAAAATGTATTTTCCAGGGTTATGGATGTATCTTAAATATATGTGTGTGTATAATAAAAATCTTACATTTATTTCCGTTATCTGGTACCTGTAACACAAGTTTTTTACGAACTTAGCACGGAACCAGTTAATTTGGCGTGATCGTTAGTAAATATTTATTTATTTATTTATTTATTTTATGTGAATAAAGTTTTTGCTAAATCTGCGGATTCGATTGAATGATAAATGAAAAAATGTCATAGTCTAAAGTACCAATAAATACCTATAGTCTAGAATATTATACAAAAACATTAACAACTATACTAATGAACAGAATCTTACATAATTAGAATTATTCCTCAAAATACAAAATATGATAACTATTTATATAAATTTTAGATACAATTAAGTTAAATTACAAGATAAATGGAATAAGAATTACAGACTAAATTAACAAATAATAACAACTAAAAATAGAATTGAATTGAGCAAAAATTTTGAACATATATTTACAAGCAGATTCTTCATATAATTTGGCACCAGTTAGGTACATAGGACTATACAAGGTGTCTTGTGTACAATACGTAATAAGTAATCTAATCTATATTAAAATAGTTACGGTAAGTATAGGTAGGTAGGTGGATATAGAGTTATGTATAAACCTCAAAAAAAAAATTGCTTAAATGGATGGAGCTCATGGATCACTTGATGTTAATCGGTTACCACAACCCATAGACTTCATTGATCTAAATGTAGCTAGCAGCCCCCTTTGAGATATAATTTCTAAGTTTCATTTTGGCTTCAAACCGAAACGCATTACTGCTTAACGGCAGAAATAGGCAGGCTCGTGGTACCTACCCGTGCGGACTCACAAGAGGTCCTATCACCAGTATGCAGTTTACGTCCTAGTTGTTCTAGGTGGGTACACGGACTGACGATCCAACTGGTGAGTGACGTCATCTTGAGACATGAGGTCAGAATCTCAAGTGTCGTTCCCAAAAGCGTGCAACGGCTGTCACATCATTTACACCAGAACTAGTCTGCTTCGCAGTAGCAAAAGAGGGGATATTGGTGACCTACCTATGTAGTAACAACTGGAAAGAATCTAGAACTAAGCGTAAAATCTTAAAAATAACAAGTAGTTCATATAACACAGATATTTGACGAATATATTTTTTTGCTTGTCTATAAATTTTATTGTTAGTCGTTTTATTATGAAAATATTAAACACTAAAAAAGTTAATAATAGAATATTACGTTGAAAAGACCGAGAATATTTGAATATTTTTGCGAAAATAATATTATTTACTAAGAGTGTTTATAACTCGGTTGAATGTAGTGTCCTAAAAGTGAAAAATTCACCTTGAAAACATAGAAACAGTATAATATTTTTGTAAAATAACTAAAAATTTTAGTACATATTACTATTATGAAGACACATTACGTGCGTTAGTCACCATGAGTATTTCAAGGCCCCGCTTATTACCTATTCTACTTATTAATTAAGTCTTTCTTTAAGAATATTAAACACTAACCTTAGTTGAGTGAGTCTATAACATTATATTTTCATGTATAATAAAAAAAATAACAATCCTACTTTACATGTAATTATGATTATTTTAATAAGTAAAATGAAAGATATTTTTTTATAATCCAGTATGAATATGTGTTGTATTAGCTTATTTCATGTAATACGTCTTTTTTAACTTTTATTATGTTAAAAAATAGTTCGACACTTCCCGGCTCAGGAAGTTATTTGAGCGATAATGTTTTGTGATTTAATTTTTATGTTTTTATTTACAAAGAAATCCATTCCGAAGCTTGGCACGAGCGATATCGTTAAACAAGTTGTAAAAAAGATAATTAATATAGCGCTTAACGACGATTCAGTGCTGATAATTAAATTACTGTACATTTAAGGAATACATTCGTTATAAAATGTATATTTTTATTCATATTAGCACCATTTCAACAAAAGTAAAGTTAGTTATACTTAGAGCAGGCTACGATTCCCTCAATTATATTGGTACAAGTTGGTTTAAGGCACTGCCTTTAACAAACATTCTAGAAATTTCTTTATAGTTTAAGATAAACTGTCACCGATCAATGACATTTCCCTTATTATGTTTATAAGTACACGAAGTGTTTTAAAATAAAAAGTGATACATAATAGAATTGCGAGAAATGGTACAGACTCGAAGGGTATGTCTTTAATATTATATACAGAACACATATTGTTGCTGTTGTTGAGCACTGCTATAGATTTTAACAAGTTAATTTCTGTTTTTCTAATGCTTTAAGCACTCACGCGGGCGCGGAAGCACTCACTGATGTTAAGTTATAAAAGCTACAAGTGTTTAACTATTACATGAATCTTTATAGTTAGGTATTACGTGTAATAATAAAATAATCAAACCAACGTTAGGTACACTTTGTAATGTGTTTGAAGTTAAAATATTTGATGGGTACGTGTACTCAATTCTCTTGGGCGTTGCTAGAGCTGCTGGTGTGGGATGTGGCCAGAGAGTCGTGCTGTTCTGCCGCGTGTCTACTCTCGTCGCAAACCGCTATGAACTGCTCAGCGTATGCCCTGGAAATTAGAAACAGTGTGCTTTAACTCGTTTAATTGGTGGCAGGTCGCGTTTATACCTACCGTCTTTGATTAGCGGGACCGTTTGTCTATTGCTAACCTTTTTATTTATTTACGATCGATGGCCTCAATAGGTTAACGATCTCATGGCCCACCTAGTATTAAGTAGTTACAGGAGTTTTTTTTTTTTAGTTTTTATTAGATGGTTGGACGAGCTCACAGCCCACCTGATGTTACTGAAGACCATAGACATCTACAAACGTTCTATGGTCTCAAGTATAGTTTCAAAGGCTACCTTACCCTTCAAACCGAAACGGATTACTGCTTCACGACAGAAATAAGTGGGGTGGTACCTACTCATGTGGACTCACAAGAGGTCCTACCACCAGTAAAAAGTTCATAGACATCTACAACGTAAATGCCGCCACCACCTTGAGATATGAGTTGTAAGGTCTCACAGTGTTTACGGTACATCAGCTTCCGAAACGCATTACTGCTTCACGGCAGAAATAAACAGGACGGTTGTACCTACCCGTGTTGACTCACAAGACGTTCTACCACCTGTAAAACATAGAGTATAATATATATATACCTATAATACCTATACCCATAATAACCCATAGCCATTATTTTCTATATCGTGAATCAAGCTGCATGGCGGTAGGACATCCAAGTCGCTGCTAAGGATCCTCCGCAATCCCAGCTTGAAGAAGGACATGTCATAGCGCTCGAAAAACAACGTGGAAGGAAGTTAATTTCAAAGCCAGATGGTATGTGGCAGAAAAAATCTCTAGAAGCGCACTATGTATAAATACTGCTCCGATGGCGCGTGGAGTCATGGAGGAAACGAGATGACAGAATCATATCAAAACAATTCCTCATCAGGCTTGGGCATCCGTGTAAAAACGGCAGGTATGTATCAATAATCCGAATTTCAAATGTTAATTCTTTATCTCTTGAAGGATTTCCGATGATTGCAAACACTGTTCGATTTCGCATTTATTTATTTACAATTTAGAAAGTTTCGATTCCTTTCTACTGGTATGGTTCTATTCGAGGTATAAAGAAAATAAAACTGGAGGTTTCGCAACAACCCACGGTCATTCGATAACGTGCGAACTTATGGTGGTACACTTCATTCACGGTTGTTTGTATAAGAGTTAGTGTATTGCGCAAACGAACGCTCTGAGATCGTGGTCAATGAATGATAAAAAAAAGTTATTTTTTGTACGTTATTACAAAGTTAAGCCGTACACTGTGTGCATTACTAATAAAATTCTTACGTTACGGACGTTTTTTCCCGGTTAGGGTACCCCTCCGCATCGTCCCATAAGGAACTTCGTTCCAAAAATAGTTCTTATTAGTTACCTGTCGAGTCCTGTATAAGTACGCTTGAGGTCGGCATCGGTGACGTCACGGTCGGCGCGTCGCTTGCGGTGTATCCTCTCGAGCGAGCGCCGCAGCTGGGAGTCGCGCTGTCGCTCGCGGCGCCGTCGCTCCCCGGAGCGAGGCGAGCGGCGGCGTCGGACGCGCTGTGTACCGCACACGTCAGTAAAAGTATACCGATTATGGATTTTTGCGGGAAATAAGTATATACAGGGCCGGATTTAAACTCAATACCGCTCCTGGGCACCGGAAAAAAATCCGCCACAATACCTACTGGAATTTTACTTAAACTTATAGTTTATATATTTTATTTTTCAAAATTACAATAATTAATCTATTGCAGAAACATTACATGTTATATATTGCAAAAAACATAAATAAATATTTGTTTTTTTTTCTAACAATTATAAATTTTAAAGTAGAAAAATCGATTATTATTTTAAATGTCCAAGGAAATAAATTGATCAAATTATGTTGAATATAATTTTTTACCAAAAGTACCATAATTATAATTCACAAATAATGGATGAATTGAATTTGTTGAATTATCAATTAAACAGAAAATTATTAATTAATATAATTAATTAATTATATTGAGCAATTTTGATAAGAATAAAAAAAAAAAACACTTTCAAAATTTTGCCCCACTTGCCCCGACTGCCCCTAGTTTAAATCCACCATTGAGTGTACATATACATATTATACGGAGTGCCTTTATTAGCTCAGCGACCTAGACGAATCACGCATCAGTGTATCTTACATGTAAACATTTCAACATATCATTGTAAAATCAAAATCTGCTATGTGCGCTTTTTGAGATTTTTACTTTTTGATCTTTTCGTATAGTTCACAGCCCTATCTACTGTATAAAAAAAAACTCTTATGTATCTATAGCTTTAATATTTATCTATAGCTTTCATTTGATATAGTTCTTAAAAATTCAGCTTCATATAAAATTTTATACGAAAATTTTTTTACTCGTTAATTCAAAATATAGTTTTTGCACATAGCAGATTTTGGTTTAACAGCGACGATATATGAAACTGTACTTACAGTGTCGTGGACGGGATAATAGACCGGTCCGTGGTGGGGGTACGGCGCTGGTGGCAGAGGGAGGGTGGCGTAACGTTGTGGCACCATCACACATGCAGGCACTCGACCCAGCTGTCGAGAAAACATTTATTCTTAACTGGTGTGAAAGAAGCTGAACTCGGAAGCGTGGGTATCGGCTTGGCTCTGTCCCCGGCATTGCTCAAGTCCATGGGCGACGGTAACCACTCACCGTCAGGTGGGCCGTATGCTCGTTTGTATACAAGGGCAATAAAAAAAAGCTTCGTAAAAATTATTATTCGAAATTAATTTTCAATTTATATTTTAAGCTACACGCAATGTAACACACATAAAATTCAGCTGAAGTCAATCGTCTCGCGTATGTTATTATGAGTTAACTAGCCGTACTCGCCCGCTTCGCTGGGCATTTAAAATTAACATTATTATTTATTGTCATTATTATTAGGGAGTCCAACACTCAAATAAATATTAGCCTATCCATTAAGTACATGTATTTTCTACATGGATACCAAGTTTCAAGTCAATCGGATGCACGGTTCAGTAGTTATAACGGAACATCCGTAAAAACCACTGTAGATTTATATATTAGTATAGATACACTACCGACATACGTGCATATATACCGATCCGATTAACTTAAAAAAATGCATAGGCATAATATCCTAATCAGTATCAACAGGTTAATAAAAGTATAAAATTATTTATTAGTAGTAGTAGGGAGCCTTGTGTGCCCGCACGGGTAGAGACCAACGCCCTGCCTATTTCTGCCGTCGGTTAGAAGGGTAGGGCAGCCGTTGCACTACAAAATTAAAACTCATGTCTCAAGATAGGTGGTGACATTGATGTCGTTGATATAGATGACCTCTGGTAGCCACTTAACACCAGATTGGCCGTGAGCTGATCGACCTTGAAAAAAATTTGCTATTTAAGCATGTTTTTTTGGAACACACTACATTTCAGATTTTTCAAAGTTTAGCACTGATTTCTCTAGATGACAGAGCGAGTTATTGTACCCGGCAGTAAAATTACAAGTTGCAGCTAAAACAATGCTAAATATCTAGTAGAATTGAACAAAGCCCAAGTCACGTAGTCGGTTTAAAACATAAACAATAGTTTGTAGGTCGCGGTACACTTGTATAGTGACACACTGAGTCAAATGTATTATTTATCTCACGCCCAAACTTCTCTAAGGTCACGGCGTGCTTAGAACAGATCCTATTGTTTTGGATCTTCTCTCCGTTCTGGTTTAGTGAAAATAAATACGGAATAGTAAAATATGCATAATATTGATCCAGTAACGCTGACGGAGGTCTGTCGGTGTGTCAACTAGCCGACTATGCGATTTATTACGACTAAGGTCGACGGCATGTCGTGTTGTCGTGTATCTGCTAAGTAGATGTGTTGATTTTTGGTATAAATTAGAACTGTTTTATAAATAATAGTTTAATCTTGAGTTGAATGTAAATTGAATTGTTTGTGCGCTTTTTTTTAAATTTAAACCCATTCCATCCCTGAAAAAACAGATCTGATTTGTTAACGTTACAATTTTTTTATTATTTCACTCGTCAAGACCTAACCTTACGAAGAATGTTCCTTTATATTTTTCAAATAATAGTGAAAATGTTAACAATGACTACGACAATTTAAATATTACTTTAAATTGCAATATATAGTATGTATAAGCATTCTTATACTGATAAGGTATGTAAGTATCAAGCTTGTAGGGGATAAAGTGGAGGAAGTGAACTATTTGACAATATATCATTAAGTATCTTGGACTCTTTTGGTAAGTCAAAACAAAAACAAATGAACATACAGGTAAAATGATAACCACTCTGTTAAAATAGCTGTCAACTGAAACCAGATTTAAAACAAAGAATGCGGACATAAGTCTAGTTTAGACTGTACCTAAGTGTTTGAAGTAACATGTGATTTGAATACAAAAGTAAACAAACTAACTCACCTTGGTGCACTTGCATATGCTATACATATATAGCCGGTATGTACATGTAGACACATTGATGCAATATATAGGTTGTTTGAAATTGTGTAAGGCACGTTTTGAATTGGAGGAATTGTTGCAATGTTTATTAAAGTATACCAATTGACGGGGTCATTCCAAAACTTTAGACTACTGTTAAATTCGCTTAGTTTTATCTTTTTAGGTTTTCTCGAATTGTAAAACTTACAGTTCACTGTGTATCTGTCGTAGTCTCGGAAGATAAAAGTATTTGAAACGTCAAAAATAATGCAATTATGATCAATGGGAGGTTAAACAGTAAAATATGTTTTATAACTATGTCCAATTCACTTGTTTCACTCAAAACACACTCCTTTGAAAGAGTTCCGTGTATTTTCATCCAAATCTTTTTTATTTATTTGCTATTACATAGGTGGGTGGTCGAGCTCACAGCCCACCTGGTGCTAAGTGGTTGCCGGAGCCCATAGACGTCTACAGCGTAAATGCGCCATCTACCTTGGAAGTTCTAAGGTCTCAGTATAGTTACAACGGCTGCCCCACCCTTCAAGCCGAAACGCATTACTACTTCACTGCAGAAATAGGCAGGGTGATGTTACCTAACCGTGAGACTCACAATCAGATTCTACCACCAGTAAAAACAAATATGTTAACATATAATATATCACTTTTAAAGTACGCGGCTTAAACTAGCAAATCAGCTGATGCCTTTGCAGCTTTGCATATCTCGACAAAATTAATTATTCGATGTAATCAACCGGCTCGGAACAAATTGTTTTAATAAGTATACGATTCGTTTTGAAACAAGTTTACGATCGGACTAATACTAAAACAGTGCTGGTATAATGCTATTAAACCGTTCATAGCAATTTGAAATAACGAGAGTAGTCGATTAGTTCTCTTTAAGTTTTGTCTTGTTCATTGGCGGTCAAGAATTTATGTTTATGTTTGTTGGAGTTTTTACATAGTTAAGAAGATCGGTTCTTGTCGATGTGTTGCATTCAGATTTTCCCGTAAAAAAAACTGTTGAGGAAAATTTAATCCAGACGATTCGAGAACTTGATAGTTGTTGAAATAATCCCGGAAGAAGCTTTAGCGCCCTATCTTCAGCTTCTACGGGCACTAGAAAGTGTTATGGTTCGACATGTTAAAATAACTTCGCTTGCTTAATTAGCCCGCCTAGCCCCTAGAGGAGGCCACGACCCTCAGCACTGAAGATTATCGACGCAAGGAGGGAGCCCCTTAACATCAAGATATCTGTAAGTTCGTCCGCCGATATAAACATCCTTCTGGTCTTAAGTGTTTACCATTGCTAATGACCATGGCACTGCCAGTTGATTTATTAATTTATATTCTTTAATAGAGTCATACTAATGCCAGTTGATAAATAATTATTAATATATCTTGCAAATCAGCAGTCGTTTTTTTGTGGAAACCATTCCAATACTACTTTCACTAAACAGAAGACAGGTTCGGTACAAAATCAACACGCTTGTCGGTCGGTATTTTTATTTTGATGTCTTTAGAGACAACCACGGGCAACCAGTATTTGTTTGTGGTGGTTAGTGACTTCGAATCTCCACTGTGATAATTGCCGTTATGCGTTCAAATGTTTTCGTATATGCTAGAATATATTCTTAACAAAAACAACACAGATTAATTTAAAAAAAAACTTAATGACGTGCTGCTACCGCGGTTATTCTTGGGCACAGCGGCCTTTTTATTAGAAGACAGAACGGTTCGTGTATTGATTAGCAAAGGATTTCCTTTTTATTAGTTCACATAGGCCGAGCTGGTGCAAGTTTATCAAAGTCCTTAAGTATTACGATGCTACGCCCACATAAAGTTATGAGAGCTAGGAAATTATTTTACTTCTGCGGGCCGATTGGACTTATTGAAATGAAGGCTCAAGTATTTCGAAGTAGTATATCTGTATACTCTTCTACCTCATCGTATCGTCTTTAAGTCAATGTGAAATGCATTCGACGTAAGCTTTTTCGCTAACTTTATGCTCATTTAAATGCGGAAGTTCGAAAGTCATTACGTAAGAGTACACAATGATCAAACCCACTGAGCTTGTGTATGAATTTGTGTATTATGTAATTTGTTATGTGATTTCGATTCGAGATAACATCATTGACTTTCTCGTGCATAAAATGTTAACAATTGGTTTTAGCTATGTCCGATATTGAACTGGGAATTATTGCGGACGCACATACATGCAAAAATGATTTTATCTTATCATAGCATACCAAGAGAGTGGAACACATGAGTCTGACGCGAAAGGCATCTAGTACAGTTTTCAAAGATCCTTCCTATCAAGTAGGTAATTCTAGTGAGAAATAATAAATAAACATTTATTACCTTTTATCGGAGTGATATATTATTGTTTTTTAAGAACTTAGAACGGTGCGTCTGGGTCTTTACGTTACCGATGTCTTTTAAAGGGCCTCTCCGAAAGTCTATTTTATAGTCAACCGAAACTTTTACATTGAAACATGAGCTCGAGAACTCAATCTGTGTAACAACTGACCAACCAACTCTCCAAAGTGACTGCTTTCCTCGAAAAATGGAAAGGATGGTGCTATCTACCCGTTTGGGCTTACAGTGCCCACCACCAGTAGATGCCGGCTGACGATCACAATACTCTTATTATACTGGATACACCAGAGAACGTTTCTGCCCATTTTCCGGTGAATGCTTTCGCCTCCATTTATTTAAGACACCCACGGGAAGATATAGGATGGTTCTATTCTAGGACACTGCACAGCCAAAAGATACTAAAAAATCTGTTTATTTATGTTATTATTGTTATCAAAGGATTTTATTCGTTAAAAAATCTAACCGTAAAAAAGGGCTTCCGCTCCCGGTTTTTTAAATTTTTTATTGCCTTTTTAGGCAGTCGAGCATACGCCCCACCTGATGTTGAGTGGTTACCGTCGCCCATGGACTTCAGCAATGCCAGAGGCAGAGCTAATCCGCCGCCTTCCGTGTGGGGTACAGCCGCATGCCTGATAAGGCGTGCATATGGCAGCGAACCAATTAGACTACAGTGGGTTCTTAGAAATTTGTGCAATTAGGTTTTACTTTAGGTATCTCGTTTAAAAGACCTTCC